TAAAATGCCTGTGTGGGTGCCACTGCAACCTAACAGACACATTTATGCACATACATATGTACATACAGACGACCGACTGACGCACTGGCAATACTTGAACCTGACATTCAGAAAATATCGCGCACACACACACACGCACGCACGCTCACTGAACACTCGCAAGCATAAAGTGTTAGCACTCCAAGTCCAAGTGATGCCAAATCGATGTTGATCGTCAAGCGGCAATTGAAACAAATATGAATGCAACTGCGCCCAAAGCTAAACTAAAATATACTCATTAAACTTTCAAAGTTAACTGCATCAAGCATATTCCTAACAGCTCTTGGTTTAGACGAAAACAACTCAATCTGGCAACTTGTAAACTGGCCAAGTTTTAATTGGTAGCTGCAACTGCCATACTCCGTAAACAAATCGATCTGGCTACTTTAAAAGCTTTAATTGATAACTTCAACTGCCATACCCCACACCCTCTTATATAGGGTATTCAACACGCACAGCTACAACTAATTGTTATATACTGATGTTTGAGTGTTTGATGCGTTTTAAATTGAAGTCAATTTTTTCAAATATTTGCATTTTGTGTGAGAACAGGAATTCCCATAAATATCGGTACATACAAACATGCATTGAGTGGCAATAAATAAAACGGGTAATGTCAATTTTATTATGGATTTCTGAAAATTCGTAAAATATGCACTTTTTAATTAATTGAAGTGGAGAAATCATTTAGCAAGTTGTCAACTTGAATACGCAATGAACAACTAAAATATAACATGCAATCGTTGCATAACATTCAGATTCAATTTACCATTAACATTGATAATAACATTTACATTATCATAAACATTTACAGCAGGACTTAGCCGTGAAATTTAAAAATGATAACGGGTGCAACTTTTTTTTAAATAATCTCTTTTATTATTGTTGAAGTACATATATTACACACGGAGCTCAAAGTATTTTTTTTTGCCTTTTCTAGCTTTATAGAGCTCGACGCACTTCAATATCTCAGTTGTCGCACAGCTTGGGTCCATCGCCAATGCAACCGGCATAGGCCATAAGATGGGGAATCGTGCTCTGTTGCATTACACCACTGAAAAGATGACTCTGTGGCCCAGTAGCAAAAACGCCAACATCATCACCGGAATGCACGCCAAGTGTACTAGTTATATAACTGGGGAAGATGAAAGCTGAGGGAACAAGTAGTTAAATAAGAATTTTAGAAGCTCTCCAATCTTGAAGTAATTTACTTACACGGATCATCAATTTTGTCTTCCAGAGGCTCGCGCTTTCCATTCTCATCCAAATACGGATTTGTGCCAACTGCATAATTCAAGGTGGCATATTTGACACCATTGATATCGGTGTCGTGTTGATTAAGTCCCAGAATATTGGTGCCGCGACCCGGATAGCCGGCGATGGATAGTGGATGGGCATGATCGGAGGTGACCACAATCAAAGTTTCCTCGGGATTCGTCATACCAAGCGCTGTCTCGACAGCCTTGGATAGCTCGTGCACCTCGTCAAGTCCCATTTGGGGTATGTTATAGTGATTGCCGTAATCCACAAGCCCTCCCTCGATGAACAGGAAGTAGCCCTCATCATTTTGGCTTACCACCTCAATGGCCTTCTTGGTCATCTCCTCTAATGTGGGCTTCTGTGCCGAATCGGCCAGTTTATGAAAGTCCATGATACCAGAATTGAAAAGACCGATCAGTCTGGGTATCCGCTTGGCATCTACACTGAGCAGCTGATTACGATTGTAGGCTAGTGCTCCTTCCGGATGCAATGATTGCCATTTAGAGAGCAGATTGACGCCATCAGACCGCTCGCCCTTGTTACCAAACTTATCCGTAATGGATTTTGGCAGAAACTTGCCCATGCCGCCGCCAAGCATAACATCAAAATTCTTGCCAGGCTCCTGGGTTATCAGCTGCGTAGCGATATCCGTGCAAGGAACATTCTGACCCTCGCCATATGTAACAATGTCCGTGTCGGACTCAAAGAAGCGATTTGTGGAGTGCGCATAGGCGCCGGAAGGACTGGCATGGGTTAATGTAGTGGTGGTCACAATTCCACTCGCCTTACCAGCTGCCTGTGCCCAGGCGGCAATCGAGCTGACTTGATTGGCGGGATCCTCACTGCCGCTGCAGTTGTTGAAGTTAACGTTGGCGGTGACACCAAGGGCAACAATATTGGTCTTGACGCCACACAAATAGGCGGTCGCAGTGCAGGCAGAATCCGGTACTTGGGCATTGGAGCAATAGGTCTGTCGGAATGAAGAGGTATTTGGTTAGAAGACTACACATTGTAACACTTCAGTTGCATTTTCTACAGGATATGTGCTTAGAATTCTCAAATGGTTAAAACGTAAACAATTTTTCAAACTGTTTCTTGGTAGCTTACCCTGCTCAAGCCAGTGTAGGGGAACTTCTCAAAACTCAGTGCATCCTCCTCGCCAGTGTTGCCTTTGAGTTGACCCTTTAAAATTCTGGCCGCCGCCAAAGTTGTCAAAGACATGCCATCGCCCAGGAACATGATCAAATTCTTGGCCTTCCTTTTGTCGACCTGTGGTAAAGCCAAGCGCTTGGCTATTTCTTCATTGGCCAAGTCGTACCAGAATTGCGCAGCCTTCTCCTCGGGTGGCGTGTACTTGTTCTTGCCCAATGCATTGGGATCAAGTAGATTAACATCTCTGGCCTTTCCCACAGAAGATCTGCCAACCAACTGCTCCTGATTGTGGACTTCGCTCACTGCAAGAAGTGGATTACATCTTTAGCTTCAAAAGTGTTTGCTTCCTGATTTCCACCCAGTACTTACTGTCGAAGGCTGCCGACCAGGTTGTGGCCACAAGGGCGCTAAGCAGCACTAGTGCTACGTAGAGAATCGACATATTGTGCGTTTCTTCTGAGTTCCTCTCCGACTGACGCTTAGTCTGGCCATATTCCCAGGTATTTATACTTTGTATTGAACGTGCTGCCCGAGTGTCTAATCTTAATTACTAATTTACTCAGTTTTACCAGCCTCATTTCGGTTATCATTTAAATCTGCTGACTTTTTGGTACTTGTCATTTTATTGGCTGTAGAATGTGATATGACTGAATATATTTTTAATTTTGGACCAAGGAACTACGGCATATTCAGACCCGTGGATCATGTTCGCCTCAAGTGGATAGTTCGTCGTAGTGGGAGCAAAATGGTATGGAGAAAAATACACTTAGATAAGGCAAAACTATTATTGTCTAAGGCAGACATTACCTAGCTTTGTCAGGGCGAAGGTTTTTATCTTTTTACTTGTTTCCCGCACGTGAGAGATTTTAAAGACTGTTTATATGGGTGTATCTATGTATGCATCTATACATATATGTGTGTGTATGTTGTTTTATAAAAAACGCAGACTAATTTTACCTATTACTGGGCCACTAATTAAGGAAACGTATTTCAATGCCCTACTATGCGATTCTCATTAATTCAGGTAAGCCCAATAGGTTTTCATGCTTTAATTATAAGTATTTCCTCTACTGCGGATCCTCTAATCCTCCCTCAAATTGTTCCTATTAAAATGTCGTCCTTTTACAAATAGATAAATAAAATCGTCGTGCGTGTGTATGTAAATTCTTAGGCATATTCGAATATGTGCTGACCAAAGTGCAGACCAGGCACGTGTTATTATCTCCTACGATATAAAAGTTGTCTCAAACGTTCTTCAGGTCAAACATCTCATGTTTAATACGTACTATATATAAAATCCCATAAGTATATAACGTCATAAACGGATTATTAACCAGAGTCTGTCGCGCCCCTGATTTTCAAATAGTATCATATTTATCTTGTTATCTTATAAGTATTTTATGTTCATGCTTGCAGACAATCTGCAAATACTCAAAAGCACCTTTTTTTAAACAAGAGCATGCTTTTAGGATGTCAAAAAAATGCGTTTAATCCCATTTTGAATTTGTTGAGTTTTTGTGTTTTTTTAATTGTGAACCTTTTATTGGTGCTGAATAAATAAAATTAATTACAAAGGCTTAGCTGCTGTTCCATAAAGTTCTGTTAAATGTTGCGGAAATATCCCATTGTGTTAAGGCTGTTATTTGTGTTTACCAATCCGTCCATACTTAACAATTCTTTTACATATCTATATAAGCCAATTCGTCAGATTTTTTGCGCAGTAAAATGAAATTGTTTTCAGTTTACCTTTGCTTGGCGCTTTGCGTAGTCCAGGCATACAGTCAAGCTATGAGCTTCTGTCGTGGACGCCCTGGTAAACATTTAACTAATTGACAACTTGCAGTTTCCCAGACCTGTAAAGGCGGCAAAAATGTTAGTTACGGTAAATATCCTCGCTGCACTCTGTCGGCCATGGACAGAATGTGGTTCTACGATCACCTCAGTAAATCTTGTTATACGCTAAACTATCGAGGGTGCGGGGGTAACGCAAATAAATACTGCTCTGAGACAGATTGCCTCAAAAAATGTAAGCATTAAAAATTACAAAATTAACTGCAGCCTTTTTGTTTGTATGTATGGTTATTCACAGCATGGAAAATACTCCGTTACAATTTAGAGCATAGTAAAACAGCCCTGGCTTATGATTAAATGTTATGATATCGATAAAAAAAATATTTGCTTATAATATATTACACATTAATAAATCGCAACATTCATAGACTGAATATTTCTCAATTTAATTTAAGATAAAGCGCAAATTTAGTCAACTTGCGATTTTGAATATTTCAATCGATTAATTTAAAAACATCTGTTAAAGTTCTGTTGCCGATCTGTGTTAGAAAACTTGCCACTCTTCATTTAAAGTTCTGGCTAAGTTATAACTTTAAACTAAATAGTTTTGTGACATGAATTGTATTTAAAAATTAATTTCAATTATTTCAAATGCAGGCAACGACTTGCGATAGTTTTACTGAAATAATTGGCGCTCACTGTTAATAACATATTTGATAATGTTAAGTTAACAGACAAATTTACAGAGCTCGATGTCAAAGGGAAGAAGAAGAGCAATTTTCATTTAAGAAACATATAAGGGGCAAAATCTAAAACGTAAATATGTCGTACGTTTTAAACAACGCAATTCGTCGCCAAATTAGCGGTATTGCCGCCAGGAATATGTCCGGCACTGCCGCCGTGGCTGGAGAACATTCGGGTAACTATCACCATAATAGAAAATATCCTCATAGTTAGGTTAAGGTTATATAATTTGGTGTTTGTGCCAAAACTTTAAAATCTTTGAAGACGTTAGCTTTAATAACAAAACTTTTTCAGGTGGCTACAAGGTCTGGAAGCGTTTGTCCTTCTTCGTGGCCATGCCAGCTGTCGGTCTGTGCATGCTGAACGCTTACCTGAAGCACCAGGAGGAGCACGACCATCCTCGTCAGGAATTCGTGAAGTACGATTACCTGCGCCGCCGTGAGAAGCGCTTCCCCTGGGGCGAGGGCAACAAGAGCTTGTTCCACAATCCCCACGTTAACCCCCTGCCCGATGGCTATGAGCACTAAGCGTCTACCCCACTCTTTGTAAAGGTGTTGCAGTTGTTGGTAACTTGCCTTGACTGCCTTAATCACACTCAATGTATTTAACATATTGTAAGCTGTAATTAATGTGGAAATACACACAAACCCAAACACATTCGACAAACTTGACTACAAATAAAGAGTGACAAACCGCAGCTTATCAATGGGTAGGAATCATCGATTCGATTCTGATAGCTGCATAACAATAAAACATCCAATCATTGTCGAATATCAAATACCCTTGCAGACGTATGGAGGATGTGCGGCATATTTCAATACTTGAGAATGTTTTCATACAACAACTTAAATTTTGATTGATTGTTCTTATTGGAGCTCTATTGTTCTCAGACGTCCGTCCAGGCAGATGAATCTAGGCATTCCATAATTGCCAACCAACATAATTACATCTGAGTGTAAACAACCCAGCACCGAGGCAGTCTAGCTATTCATCCTGTATGAGTTTACGTTACTTAACTTACTTACTTAACTCCCCGCAGCTAAGATTGAACAGGCATGTAAGTAGTATTTAAAACACTTTTTAATTAAATAAGAATTAAGATATACAAGCGGAGCACTAGGAAACATAGACTTTACAAGCTATTTTAAAAACATACCCAATCCAAAAAAAAGTTCAATTGTGTGGAAAAACGGTTCAAAAAAATCTTTAATTATTTATTTACCAATACAGATTAAGAAACCAACTTAATTATGAATATATTAATTCGGCGTAAATTCATATATTTGTGAGCTATTGATATATCAACTCTTAAATGTATCAAAGACAGAAACATTTCTACATTTGCAAAATGAAGAATTCACAAATCTGTTAACTATCATAAACGCAGCTGTTTCAGGAGTCCAGCGGTACTAAGGCTCAGAGATGACATCTTAGTTCGAAATCTACTTGGTGCTTTGATGCTTTGAACTGGCGGCCTTAGCGTTCCTTGGCTTGCTGCTCAGTTTGCCCTGGTCTGCAATAACCTTCTTTGTCAATCTTTTACCTGAATCGCTTGGCTTCTGAGTTTTTTCTTTGGTATCTTGCCTGCGCGTCTGGCGTTTGCTTTCCGGTGAGACGGACGCAGCGGCTGGAGATTTTGAGGTTCGGGCTCTTTTTAAATTATCTGGTGAAATCGGCTCATCTTTAATTATCTTGGGTTTAGACTCTTGTTTGATTTTGTCGCTTTCTTCCAATTTAGGGATCGGATTTAGTTTGCGTATTTTTGCTTGAGTTGGCGATGCAGATTTATTTGATGGCGACTCTGGCTCATCGCCTAGCAATTCCTCCATTAATTCGGACTCCTCTGCGACATCCTCCTCTTTGTTGACCCCCTGCTCAAATTCACCTTCATTCTGATAGGGCACCATGTCAACCACATGGTCGTCTTCGATGTGCTTCTGCAATTGGCTCGAGCTAAGGAAAATAAAATCACAAAACTCGCACGCGTGCCTTTCGCTCTTCTTATGCGCCTCCATGTGCGGCTCCAGGCTGTCCAAGTCAGCGATGCTCGCCTGACACAGTGGACAGACTAGCGAGATGCCCGCATGAATGGCCGAGTGATCCACCAGACTGTCATAGGTTTGGTGCGTATCCTTGCAAATGCTGCAGGTGAATGAGGCCGCCGGAGCCTGCTTGTGCATGCGCAAATGCCGCGATAAATGATGTGACAGCAGATATGACTTGGAGCAGTACTTGCAGGGATAGACGCGCTTGCCGGCGTGCGCAACCAGGTGACGGGCCAACTTGCCTGCGGTCACAAAGCTCCGGCTGCAGTACTGGCAAGAGAATGGTAGATTGGTGCTATGTATGACCTGTGCAATAAAAACAAACAGAAATTTACATCTCAGCTAAAGCAGTCGATTGATAACGACTCACCTCATGGCGTTCCAGACCCTGCTTGAAGGCAAACGCTTTCTGGCATACGCCACACTGGAAAGGCCGCTTTTTGGTATGGCGCTCGGCATGCTTTTCCATCTCCTTGCGCGAAATAAACGGCTTCTCGCAGTAAAGGCAAATAAACTTGGGCACATCCGTGTGAGTTCGTTCGTGGCGATGCAGCAGGGCGCGACGCGTGAACGCCTTTTCGCAGACGCTGCACTTGTAGGGACGTTCGCCCGTGTGTATAAAGTTGTGTTTCTGCAGATCGTACTTGGAGAAGAAGCTCTTGTCGCACTCCGGGCACTGAAAGCTACGCGTACGTGTGTGGTTCACAACATGTATGTCGAGCAGCTGCATCAGTGGAAATGAGCGATCGCAATGTGGACACGGAAAGACGTTAGTCGCCACGGGCGCAGCATTTTTAATTGGATCCGCAGCCGCATCAACTGCATCGGGATCAAGTATTTCCGTAACAAGCGCCACATTTCCGTCCTCGTAGTGCTTTATTTGAGGCGTGGCCAGGCGTGGTTCCACGGTGGTGCTGGCACCTTTGTTAAGCAGTCGCATCGACGATTTGTTGAGTACTTTTGGTTTGCCAGCCGAAGGCGTCGTTACAGCTGCTGGTGTTATGTTGTCCAGATCATCCAGTTCTTCAGCCATATCAGCTAACAGATTGTGCACATCGTCCATGGATAGTTCCTGGTTGTTCTCCACTTTCATCTGATATGACTTTGAGGGTTGGCGTTTTGCGGGAGATCCTCTTGGCGGAATCGGCGGCTCAGCAGAGCTCACTGCACCCGTATTGAGTAGCTTTTTGGTAAGAGAACTCGTTTCCAAAACCTGTACGCTTTCAATTTGCACATTGTTGGACTTGGCCATGGAATTAAGCAGTTTTTTGGGCTGCGCTTCGGCATGTTCCTTCTTAACTGCAACCGTTTGATTGGCCACCAGCGGGGCACGCGGCTTCTCCAGTGGCTCTGGCCATTTGCCAGTAAGCGGATATTGGCGGAGTAGAGTCTCCGCATTTTTACACATCTGTTTAAAACGGTAACAGTGCTCGAAGAGTAGACGACAGTCCAGGCAGATAAAGCTGGGCATTCCATCGTTGCTCTGGACCTATTTAAAGTAACCAAACAAATACGTTTAGGTGTGAATGGTCTGCAAAATTATATGGCAACACTGTTCATGCGCTCTGGTTATGCCAGCGGCAAGAGTGGCAACGCTAAGTGCATTCATTTGGCGGCAAGCGGTGCACAACTACAAATGCAATCGCGCAGTTTGTTTTCGTGAGCGTGCGAAGCACGCTTTACTCCGCTCTCGTTAATTAATTGATTAAACACGGTTAACCATAAAAGGATATTTTTACTATTTTGAAACAAATGAAATTTGTTAATACTGCTTTCGTGGCTAATCGTATTAGTAAAAATAGAACAAAACAGCTGTGCACAGTACTGAAATAAGTTTAGTAAAAAATCAACGCAAAACACAATCAAAGTGCTGTGGCCTGTGGAAAGGGCGCAACAATTGCAGCCGAGGGCAGCAAAACGAACAAAAGGCAGGCAACAAGGAGAAACGCAAACAAGAGCGAGTGCAAGGAGAAAGAGAGAGCGAGAGAGCGCGCTAACAAGTAAAATGACGGACGAGTGCAAAATAAGAAGCTTTGGTTCTCACAGCGGCAAAATAAACAACGATGCTGATAGCACCGATGCACAAGGAGAAACGGGTGCAAGAGGTGGAAGTGCATCCAACGCAGTCGCGCCGTAAGTGCAGTTTTTGTTCCCTATAACAATTGAAAATGGATAAAACAAGGGTATACTAGTTTTCTTGAAATTTATGTACCGTCTCTTTAAATGCCTCAATCTCGAAGATAACAGGAGTTGGGCACTTGAAATGTGTATATATATACTTATAAAAGTTTTAGTCATACCATTTGCGGGTCATTTTGCGATAAACGAATACGAACAATCGTAATTGTTAAATCGCCCAATTGTTAATTGTATATCATTTTTCTTATCTTTTCCTGTTTTTAGCCCCGTTAGCAAGTATGTAGCCCGAATGCCCATCGATCGCAATGCCAGATATTATAATATGAATCACAAGCACCGCGGACTGGCATTGATATTCAATCATGAATTCTTCAAGATACCCTCGCTAAAGGCACGGGCCGGCACAAATGTGGACTGTGAAGAACTGCGCAAGGCTCTGAAGCGCCTGGATTTTGATGTGACTGTGCACAAGGATTGCAAGCTGGGCGACATACTCGAGCATATTAGAAAGGCCGCCTCGCAGGATCACAGCGACAACGATTGCATTGCCATTGCCATATTATCGCACGGCGAACATGGCTATATCTATGCCAATGATGTGCAGTACAAGCTGGACAGCATATGGCATTATTTGACTGCCAACAGTTGCCCCACGTTGGCAGGTAAACCAAAATTGTTTTTCATACAGGCCTGTCAGGGCGACAGATTGGACTCGGGCGTAACGCTGGAAAAGAATGTAACTGAGACGGATGGCGATTCATCAACGAGCTACAAAATACCCATTCATGCCGATTTTCTATTCTCATATTCAACGATTCCAGGTGGGCTCGTTTTTTGTATTTTTTTAAATTTTTCTCCATCGAAATCTTTTCTGCAGGATATTATTCCTGGCGCAACACTGAAAATGGCTCATGGTTCATACAGGCGCTCATCCAAGAGCTAAACGAAAACGGCAAAGTGGACAATATGCTGGAATTGCTCACTTTTGTTAGCCGACGTGTGGCTGTGGATTACGAGTCGAACGTGCCATCTACTCCGATTATGGATCGTCAGAAGCAAATTCCGTGTATGACGTCAATGCTAACCCGAATTCTGCGCTTTACGGACAAACACCTAACTAGCCAGGCAGGCTAGCTATCAGTCGTGTATAATTACATATTATTCATACTAGCCTCATTCTGGATTCCATTTGACTTTAAGTTTACTATCGACAACGCAATTATTGGGCACAAACAAAGCCCAAAATACTCTTCCATCATTATTAACCAAAACATTAGTAGATTAAGAAATCAACAAACATATGGATAAGATAAAAACCACAGCATTATATATTTGATATACACATATATAAATAAATATGAAATCCCTGCTGAAGAAGAAATCATTTCAAATGCGAGCGCCAAATGCCAGCGATCTGGCAGCATTGTGCCACTTTGCGCTTGTGTATGTGCGTTTTTGTACAGTTGTCGCCATGTTGATAAATTATTATTATAACACATTTACAATTTGTTTATACCACTCTTTGCTTTGCGCAGTTAATATGTAAACTGCGAAAATAGTAAGACCGGTCGTTGGTAGTTGTTACTGTGTGAAAATGCCCGCCAAATAAGTTAGCGAAGACGCCAACGCAGCTATTTAGAAACCAACCAGCGATGACAAATATCTTAGCCAAGTTCGTGCTTGTGCATCTTGACGCTAATAGATGACTTAGTGTAACCTAGAACCAAATCTCGACTTACCTCTATGGATGTTATGGCCATTATTTGCAGCGGCAGCGACGCGGTTGACTTTATGCGTGTGTTTTCTACGTAAATTGAGGCAAGTTTGCTTTGTTGCACTAGACAGAAGCGGCAGATTTCCTTTTTGCGTAATTCGGCCTCGCGCACAATGCTTATGTCAGCCATCTTTAAAATCGTATTACTTTTTACTCAACGAGCCAATTAAAGCGCGTCCTAGGTAATTAGTTCTATTTGTTTTGTTGTAAACAATCAAAAACAAAAAAGAAAGACACAAACACAATGCCTTGCTTCAATACACGAACCCCGGATAGAGCTGCCACACTTCAGAGAACCGAGGCCATTTTGTTGGCGTTGCCACAAATCTGTCAAAACGTTGCTACCTAGTTGCACCACGAATGTACTAAATATGACGCTCTAATTTCAATAGACAAGCAAAAAGATAATGCCTAAATGTTTTTCGTTTCTGCATGTGCATCAAAGAAAATCGAAACTGATATTGCTATCATACGCTATTGGATTGGTTTATGTGTAAACGACTGCTCTATAACTTTCCTTGTTTGCCCAACGGCGACGAGTCAAGCGAATGCCGCCCGCTTTCATTTGTATGTGAATCAGTTAATAGTTATTCTGGCCCGGACAATTCACGGTCATTGTTATTTGTATGCATATACGCACAAAGTAAACACATTGGATAAAATACATTAGAGCAGGTAGCCAAAACTTAACTCAGGTAGTCGCATGACAATGGTGTTACCTGCAGACCATTAAAAGTAATTAAGAAGCATGATGTGCAGCAAAATACAGGTCTGCCTGAAATATTTTTAGGTTCCTACTATAATTGTTAAAATTTGCCTTGGCGTAGTTCTAGATTACACTTTAGTGTTGTCACCACTGTTGATTTAGTGATTTTTGTATCATAATAACTAACACTGTTTATCGCCATTTTGTGCTCAGAAGACAAATGAAGTTATTTTTAAGATTTGATCAGCCAACTGCTTTTGATTGATTGGTTTGAAGCTCCAATTGGAAAAACAGTCGATCCATTTTAAAATCGAATTGTTTGCGCATTTGAGGTCACATATAATCATTAGATAATTAATTATTTTTAATTTTTTATCTAATATTGAAAGAACAACGAATAAGGGAATATATTTTATTTGGCGGGTGCATCAGTCCATTAAATCGACATCTCTGAGACGGGCTTGCGTTTGCTCGCCAATATCAAAGATAACATGCTGCTGCAGGAGCTCGCGTGGCTCATATTTAAGGGACTCTTCGTAGGCATATTGAATGCTCGTATCATACAACATTAGCTTGCATTTGGCGAGTGCCAAAATGCAGTTGCGCAGGCGCGCGATTACCTCGCGCTCGTTGCGAGGCACTACTTCGTTCAGATTCTGTGCGAAACCACCTTCGCCGCCCTCCTGCTCCTCGCTCTTTGTGGGCGATATCCAGATGTAGCCGTTGTTGCCCAGTATAACGGACGCGCCACATGGCAGATTGTGGAAGTGCATCTTTCGTCTTTTGACCAGCGCGGGAAAAACTTTGACCAGTATACCCTGGGATAGTTTGCCATATTTTAAACTGCGGGTGTATAGCGACAATGTGCTCTCCTCAAAGACATTCTGCAAGGACAATAAATTAAGTACCAAACCGCAGCGCTTTGATTTAGTCATGATTTAACCTGGACTTCAGCGGATATCAAATCTCCCTCGTCCAGATAACGTCTCATCATTTGTTCATCCTCCGCGGATCGTCGCCTTAGCTCACCGCCTGGCAGATTAACCGAAGAGAGCAGCAGCACCGAATCCAGGCGCGAGTTTGTGTCAACACGCCAACGTTTTTGTCCCACTTCAAGGACACGTGCCACCACTACATCGCCAATCTCACCCACGTAACGACTTTTGAGCGGGCGCACCGATATCAATTTGTTCACCTTCTCAATCACGCCCGCCACAGATGCTTTTATGTTCTCATCTTCGACAAAGGTGCCGTGGCCGCGCATGAAGCCCGCTTCCGGCATTAGCACTTCGCCGGGTGTATAAATCCGGGGTAATTGCTCTTGATTTTCGGCCAGGGCATTCCAGTCAACGCGATCCAGCGCCAGGTCTATCATTGCGTTTGTTGACATCCTTTCCAGAGCGCTTAGTCTTCCTCTTCTGTTCCAATGCGCTCGCGCCTCTTCTTCTTCTGTTCACAATGCGTGTTTCGAACGGCTTGGCTTGTCTGTTAACTTTACATTTTAGGAAACTTAACATACGTTTATCGATATGTCGATAGCGATAACAGCTACAATTTGCGCAGCTGATTGCCGATAAGTTCGTCAGCAAGCAGCTGCTTGTGTATAAAAAATAGACACAATGGACCAGCCCGATGATCATTTTCGCTATATACACAGTTCCTCGCTGCACGAACGTGTCCAAATCAAAGTGTAAGTACAAGTGTACTGTAACAGCTAAGACGCCTACTAAGTTTTTGTTTTTGTTTTTCCGCAGCGGCACCCTTGAGGGCAAGAAACGCCAGCCAGATTATGAGAAACTGCTCGATGATCCCATACTCCGCTTCTCGGGCCTCTATTCCGAGGAGTACCCCTCGTTCCAAGTGCGTCTGCAGGTTTACAACGATGGACGCCCCTATTGCTTGCCCGTGCACAATTCGTACAAGTCCTTCGGCAAACGCTGGAGCTGGAACGAGTGGGTGACGTTGCCATTGCTATTCTCGGATTTACCACGCAGCGCCATGCTGGTGCTGACCATACTCGACTGCTCAGGAGCTGGCCAAACTACTGTCATTGGCGGCACGGCAATCTCCATGTTTGGCAAGGACGGCATGTTCCGCCAGGGCATGTACGATTTGCGTGTCTGGTTAGGCGTAGAGGGCGATGGCAGCTTTCCTAGCAAAACCCCTGGCAAGGGCAAGGAATCCTCCAAATCGCAGATGCAGCGACTTGGCAAGCTGGCCAAAAAGCATCGCAACGGTCAGGTGCAGAAGGTCGATTGGCTGGATCGTTTGACATTCCGTGAAATCGAGGTGATTAACGAGCGCGAGAAACGCATGTCCGACTATATGTTTCTCATGATTGAGTTCCCCACCATCATCGTGGACGACATGTACAACGTAAGTGGACCGAAAACTTGCTGTATGTTTAAATTATGCTCACGTCTTGAACTATTTCACAGTATTCAGTTGTCTATTTTGAACCAGAAGTGGATAACAAGTATAAATTGCCAGCCAAACCCAAGCTGGTTCTTGTCCCGGACTCGGAAATTCAAATGGTGAGTATATCTAAAGCAATTACTATATGCCTTTACTTTATCTGCTTTTTCTTTGTGCAGGAGAATCTGGTGGAGCGCAAACATCATCGTTTGGCACGTTCGGAGCGCTCTGGCATTTCGGATCGGGAAGCCAAACCGACAACTATGTACGTATTTAGTTAACTCTAAAAGCAAGCTAAATCTAATGGTATATACTTGCAGTATTCGGGATCAATTGCACAAAATAGTGTGCTATCCGCCGACTTATGTGCTGAGCAACGAGGAGCAGGACTTAGTTTGGAAGTTCCGTTTCTATTTGTCATCGCATAAAAAGGCGCTCACAAAGTTTCTAAAATGCATCAATTGGAAACTGAACGAGGAGGTAAACCAAGCGCTGTGGATGCTCGCCAATTGGGCACCCATGGATGTGGAGGATGCACTGGAGCTGCTCAGTCCAACATTCACACACCCGGAGGTGCGTAAATATGCTATAAGTCGTCTGGCACAGGCACCCGACGAGGATCTCCTGCTGTACTTGCTGCAACTCGTGCAGGCTCTCAAATATGAGGATCTCCGCATCATAATACAGCTGCACAAGTTCAACATACCCGAGCCGGAACGCGACGTGGTGCGCTCGCTGCTGGACGAGAACGACTCTCTGCTAGACCAGAGCAGCATATCCGATTTGAGCACTGCGAGCAGCGCCCTGCATGCCTCGGTTATACCCGCCAATCAGCGTGCTGCACTGGCCGCCGTTAAGGTTGAGAAATCTACCATGGCGAGCAGTGCGAGTGCGCCGGCCATCAGGGCCAGCACTCCAGCACTTAGGATGGAACGCGCTGATGCTGCCGATACAAGCGGCGCCTCGCTGCCCACCCAGTCCAACTCGCATACACCGGTGCTGGGCCAGACTGGGGCTCCCAATCTGTGCCAATTCCTAATACAGCGCGCTTGTAAGAACGCCACGCTGGCCAACTATTTGTACTGGTACTTATCCATCGAGGTGGAGGATGTGGCTTCGGTGCATAAACAGGATCAGCGGACGCACGACATGTATGCCATGGTCCTCAATATATTCCTCAAGGAGCTTTACGACGGTGCGTAGATTTGCTGTCCAACATTTCGGCTTTGTTATTCACATTTCTCACACCCGCAGGTGATTTTCATTTGCGCGGCATTTCCTACAATCTGCGCAAGCAGCAGTGCTTCATTGACGAGCTGGTCAAGTTGGTTAAGCTAGTGGCCAAGGAGCCGGGCAATCGCAACAAGAAAACGGAAAAGTTCCAAAAGCTGCTGGCCGAGCAGACCATGTTCAAGGTGAACTTTACCAACTTTGAGCCCATACCATTCCCCCTGGATCCGGAGATCTATATAACCAAAATAATACCACAGCGCACGTCGCTCTTCAAGAGCGCCCTCATGCCAGCCAAGTAAGTGTATTGGATCGCTGCATAAATTGCCAACCAAAAATAATCTTTATTCGGTTACAGGCTCACTTTTGTCACATCCATTGCAAAGCACGAGTATGTGGCCATTTTCAAGCATGGCGATGACCTGCGACAGGATCAGCTCATACTCCAAATGATTACGCTAATGGACAAACTGCTGCGACGGGAGAATCTTGATCTCAAACTGACACCGTACAAGGTGTTAGCGACCAGCTCCAAGCACGGGTTCCTTCAATACATCGACTCTTGCACCGTGGCGGAGGTGCTGGCTCGGGAGGGCAATATACTTAACTTTTTCAAGCGGCATAATCCCTGCGAGAACGGCCCCTACGGCATATCCGCCGAAGTGATGGACACCTACATCAAAAGCTGTGCGGGCTACTGTGTGATCACATATCTACTAGGAGTGGGTGATCGGCATTTGGACAATCTACTGTTGACGAGCACTGGCAAGCTGTTCCATATTGATTTCGGGTACATACTAGGACGCGATCCGAAGCCTATGCCCCCACCCATGAAGCTGAGCAAGGAAATGGTTGAGGCAATGGGCGGTGTCAGCTCGGACCATTATCACGAATTCCGTAAACAGTGCTATACGGCGTATTTGCATTTACGTCGGCATGCCAATGTCATGCTGAATCTGTTCTCGCTGATGGTGGATGCCACAGTGCCCGATATCGCTCTGGAGCCGGACAAGGCCGTCAAGAAGGTTGAGGAGAATCTACAACTGGGCCTGTCCGACGAGGAGGCGGTTCAGCATTTGCAGAGCCTGCTGGACATATCCATAACAGCTGTGATGCCGGCGCTGGTCGAGCAGATACATCGTATCACGCAATACTGGCGCAAGTAAATGCCAGTAAATGCTGCTCTTATGTAATTTAACTTTTTAGGTAAGTGTATTTTAATCTAAACGCAGTAGGTAAAGCACATACCTACATTCAGGTGTATTATATATATAAATATATTATTGTGACGTGTGTATATATTAAGCAGCCTCTTTGTTACTGGTATGCACAATGCACAAGCGCTCCAAGAAACCCGTGTGGGTGCTTTTCAAGATTTTGGAGCTCTTGATAAGCTCCATTTCTGGCTATGTGCATTTCAAAGGTTTTAAAGAGCAAGAAATTCCGCACATCTTTTTACCGTGCGCCACATTTGGAAGCGGGGTCATCATTGGCATTCTCAGCTTGGTCGGAACTTTTTTCGCTGACCGGCTTACCATGCGGGTTGAGGCCCTAACCAGCGGAATGTTAGGCACGTTGTATCTAGCTTCCGTCTATGCGCACATGTATCTGGTGCAGCATGATAAGCTGCTGCCGTTTCTCAAAGATCTCGAGGAGGAAAAGGACGGCTACATAATCTGCTGCAATAGAAATGCCATTTTGAGCTTGTATGCTGTTGCCATCTATTATCTGCATTGCACCTTTGCGCTGGATATTCTCCTTTGCCCTGAAAGTGATCATTTTTCTGACGATGTGAAGCGCAGCAAACGTCGACTTAAATTATACTTTATAAGCAAGGACGTTGAGCATTACGTTAGCCGTTTTCGTTGGTATCAACTGCTCTCCGCCAGCGTTCTGACCAAGAACGCAGAAAGGAAGCCATCATATTTGGAAAATGTTATTCGTAGCAAGTCCAGCGTTTGAAACGTTTCGATATTTGCGCCATCGATAAAAATTCAGATCAGCTGTTTGCCATAACAGCCCTGTCCAATTGCGCGCCCAAATTTACAGCTGTTTTGAAACCTTTGGCTATGCGCTGTTATTGTATTCTATTTTGTTTAGAGTTTTTGGTGTGCGCAAAATATTTAGCGTTTTGGAAAAATTACAGTGTGTCGTGATTCGCAAAACTTTTCTTACAACAACTACAACTGTGTACTAAGACTAAATGGCAAGCGGTGCGGTAAGTGTAGTCGTTTGTTTTATTCGAGTGCGGTTTCCTAGAAATTTCTGTCTGCAAAGTTTTCTAATTTTCATAGTTCAGTTTCTATGCGTGCTGTTTTCGTGCGCCAACTTTTTGACAAATGTGCGTGTATAGAATTGTGCTTAGTTAGTGGCAGGTACTCATATCAAAAGTTGTTGCTAAAAGTTAGCCGGGGCTACTAAAGTTTCAGGCCAAACAACGCGATGCTCTGCAGCTGCAGACACCGCAAATTCGCATCCCGCCCCCACAACTTAGCTGGCGTCCAAATGGTGCTCAGCTAGCAAACTTGGTCTGCCCGCTCTTATTGTTTAACCTCTCTGTCTCTTTCTCCATATCCCAGTCTCTCTCTTAGTTTTAAAGAGCGGCAAACACAATTGCATTGCGAGCCATGAGTCAGCCGCAAAGCAGACGTAGCTCTCACGTTGCCTTTTGTTATTGTTGTGCTTGGAATGCAAGCATAGCGCGCGCTTGCCCTCCCCGCTCTACATGTGCTGCTAGCCGGCTGTGCCTGCAGGCAACCTCTCTCGCTCTAGCACTCCTTATTGGAGCAGCACGTGTTCATTTTCATGCAAAAATTTATAGTCGTGTATGTAGGTATGCATGTTTGTACTTTTTTTCTTTCTTTATTTTTTTTTTGGCATACTGTGAAGGTATGCGTGTGCGTTGTGTCTGAATTTGTATGATAGGTATGAATGTAAATATGCTTGTTTGTTTAACAACAAATTATCGTTACGTGCAGCTTAATGTAAGTGTAGGACAGACCTATGCTCAGTACATATTGATAAATAAAACATTTGCTTAGAGGCAGATGAAAGAGTTGTTAGAAAGTGCAAGTTATAATCTGTTCATGCATCCTCTTGTGACGTCAGCGATGTTCGATCGTGGGAGTTGCCACTTGACATAAAAAGTGACACCCCATCAAAGTTATCGATCACAGACAAGCTTCGATAATACATGGTGCAGTCAGCTTTTTAATCAACAAGAAGCCATCAACTCATTTTTGTGCAATTGTAATTCAAAGCCTAGCTATGATTTCCTATTTACCACATTACACAAACTACACTGGTCTGGGTATGTATCACCCTTTAGTTTTGCAGTTATTGTCCGCGAAAAGACTCGATTCAAAATGTGACGTTGTAAACCAAACTCCCGTGCCGAAGGTTCCCATAAACAACCCAAAAATAAAAAACAACCAATCAAAAGCGAACGTTGTGTACGTGCCGCTTATGCAGCTCCATAGATCGAGGGGGGTAATCAGTTTACGCTGACGTTGTTCTCTGCTTCTTGCATGCCCATTCTCGGAGTCACACACACACACACTCTCACTCATAGTCATACTCGTGTTCAAATGCAACTTATGTGGCTACATCTAAGTAATTTTACTGACATACTGATATTTGTATATGTGTGCTAATATGGTGTGCGCCGTTTTTTTTATTTTGGTTGTTGTTTGCTATTTCATGAACTGATACTAACACGGGTGCTACTATTTCAGTTGCTTACTAAATAGTTAGTGCCGGAGCGGGCTGACTAAGCGATCGACCCAACGGAGCGACTGTCGCGCCATATTAACCATACTGTGTCAGCCCAGTGCTGCTCGCAAACAGACACACATACACACATACACATACAGATGCATATGCGACGTTTTTTGCATATGCCCCAATGCAAGCACCCAAACCGCTAGACGCTCCATTTGCTAGTAACACCCTGTAATTTTGAAAAAATAGGATGTATTGTTTACAGAGATACCTCTGTTGAATGGGAAATGGAGTTCTAGGTTTTTGTATTGTTAAGCTGTTAAGTAAAGGATATTTAAGAAATCTTCCTTTATTCTTTAAGACTGGGATCGGCCAGCTTAGGGATATGTCAACCCGTTTGGTTTTGTTCATTTCCTTTTGGGCTTGCTGCAGGGTATTTTGCCGTTGAGCTTAAGTGAATTTGCAGCGTTCTTATTTGTTTGTATGTGTGTCGCTGGCGTCCACAACGTGATAAAAACTTTAAACATTGAATTGTGATACTTCGTCACTTGGTTGTAAATTGAAATAAGACCCGTATGCCGCCGTCAGCTGCAGCGTCCCGCTTGCCGTTGCTCGCCGTTGCTGCTACTGTTGCGTCCCGGATCGGACTCGGCTCCCGCTACGTCTCCGGCTGGCGTTGCAACAGTTAAGCGTGAAACGAGAACTAAATAAAGCACAGAACAAACGAAAATAAAAACAAAAATTCTATTGTAATTGTCAGCAAATTTTCTTCAAATGCAAAAAAAGCAAGTACAAAAACAAAAACTTAAAATAAATAAGAAAACAAGCAAAGAAAAAGGAAAAGAAAAAGCAAAGAGAAAAGCAAAAGCCGCAGCTCGACTTTTGTTTATGCACTTTGTTTAGCCAAGTTTTCGGTTGCTTCGCTTTATGTTTTAGTATTTTTGTTTTTTTTTTTTGTTTTTTTTTTGTTTTTTACAGTTATTTGTTTTTTCCATTTTGTTATAGATATGTAAGTGAATATTTATTATTTATGTATGCGAATCGCTCGGTGCTCCGATGATTCCGATGCCGCTGCCGCTGCCTCTGCCGCTGCTCGCTCTCTCTTTAGCGCTCGGTATCAGAATCTCTGTTTCTGTTTCGGTCTCTGTCCGTGTCTACGTCAACGTCCCCCTTTCGCCCGTCTTCGTCTGGTGCTCGGAGTCGGGAGCCGGGGCCAGTTCTGGCGCATTCAGTGCAGTTTTGGCCGCCTCTGGTTAGGTTGTCCTAGCGCGCAATTTTCTTTTAGTTCTCCATCCCACCACTAGCCGGTGGGTTCTTTCGGTGTGCGCATTTCGCACGTGTTTGTTTATTTTTATTGCTCTATTTCGACTCGAAGCTCCGTTCTGTTGTGTTCTGACGTTCCGTTTGTTATCTGCGATGCGTTCTCGGCTCTTTGGAAATATTCTATTTGACTTGTTTCACAAATGCATCCAGTTGGTGCAACATTTCGATATTTGAAATAAACGTGCAACAAACGGCTATATAATTGCAGGCTGAAGTTCTTCTAGCGAATATTTGTTTACATGGTGAGTTTGTGTTGAGAAACCATGTTTAATAACTAAAATAGAATTTCCTAGTGTTGGCTAATTTCAAAAGATGAATGCTTAAGACTTTTCATTAAATTTAGTTCATTTTTTACGGAGCTCTAGTTAATTATCTAAGACTTGAGACATACTAACTTTTTTAAAGTTATTATCTAAAACATATATATTCTTCCCAAAGTTCTGTTTAAATCATTGTTTATTATTGCCCTAAGATTATTTTGTTTATTTGTACTCTTAAAAGTATGCTATGTGAATTTAAGATTTTATCTTAAGTTCCTTTGCCTACAGCATTTGAAATATGAATTATAATTACTTTGGTTTATAAATAAATGAATAAATATGTTCATTTAATATCGGAGATCAAGAGCGACGAACAGAAAGAAAGTCAAAAGGTTGATAGGAACTTGGGTATAAAAAAGGATCGAAAAGAGGATCGATATAAATTTAAAAAGATATCTTAAACAAAGATTAAAGTAAATATGAGTAAAATATTATTGGAATTATACATCTGTGGGTTTAAATGGCTGGGTAGATTCAAGAAAATAGAAATAGGGAGGAAGAGAAAGCATAAGAGAGGAAATAGTCAAAATATTAGAATTATTATGTTAATATTGAGTGTTTTAAAATACTTGATAATTATAAGAGTAGCATTACGAAAACGCTTAACATTCTAAAGACATACCATAAAAAATCCGCGTATTCTCTTATATATTCTTTATTCGTATTCTCTTAAGGCATTTGCCAAATCTAAGTCTCACAAATCAGAGTCTTGGAATAGCTTTATAGTGGCAATATTACCGTTAAGTCAGCGTTCAAGTTTTATGGGTCTTGAGTCACACGCTGCCATCAATGTAGTCATAGTCTCTGTTGTATTTGGTCACATTATCTGATAAACCAAACCAGGCAGGCCGACAGTCAGGCAGTCAGGCACACGGTGCCCGTCGAGGGGGTTTGTTGACCCTGCGCCGCGAATGTGGTTGATAAAGATTTTTGCAAGACGCGTTCGAAGCGGGCAACAACTTACGCGAAGATCATGTCAATATAACAACATTTTATGGCCCCACTACAAAATCTCTTGTCAACGAGAGAGAAGGGGGGGGGGGGGCTGGTGGAGGGGGATTTAACTCATAAGTAAAACGCACACGTAACCAAAATAAAAATGGTAGCAGAACTTAAACTATGCCGAATAATAGCTAAAACCCGTAGCCGGAGCCGTAACCATATCTTGTTCTTTCTCTCGCTCTTGTCGTCAATTGCCGGTTGCTGGTAACCCAAGGCCAACGTAACCATCAGGTTAATTAACCCGCCATTGTTAATCCTCTAGCCAGCATATCAGCTAATAACCAACTATCCAACTGGTTCGCTATTGTCACAATCGTTTTTTGCCCATAATGAATTCAATTATTGTCACTTGAGTGCGTTAAGTATGCGCAACTTGTGGCCGCCTCAGGTATTTCTGTAGTACCTACAAGTCCAAAGCGTACCCAGCTAAAATATTTGGGCGTGAAAAATTGTTGAGAATTTCACGTGTTAACGGGGAAAAGATGCTAGTTTATGGAGGAAAGATGCTAGCTAAAAACTACCAAGCGCTGAAACAATAACTATCTCACTTGATACTGTTGATCTTAAAAGTAAGATCAATATATATATATGTGTAGTACCAAATGCATGAAAAAAGCAGCAAACTTTGCATGGGTTCCTGGGGCTGCTTTTCTTGAAACGCGCTTTTCCACAGCAAAAAGCTCATCAAATCTATCGAAAATTCTTCTGATTGTGTTAATTATAACTTTTCTTGTTAAATATATAACAATCCAATTCCTTATATGCTCAAAGATTCTGCTGGTTGAATAGGAAATCAAAGAAAAAGTGGATAACAAATTTGATATGAAATTATTCGATTCCCAAAAAAGTGTTT